AATTCAATTATATTGCTGTAGGTCACACTTAGCAGACGATCGGCAGTGCGGCGCCAATCTCTGCAAAGAAAAAAAAATTCAAGGAAAAACATCTGGGGTGATGGAGCATGAGACTTTTTATAAGGAGTAGCTTGTTTGGTTAAATTTGATGTTAGAATTGAGCCGTGGACAATGTCCGAACACTGACAAAGCTTATCTTCTCTCATTTTATGATATTGGATTGGATTGTATCGGAGAAGAAAATGAACGATTACCCCAAAAGATTGACTTTAGAGTTGCTTGTTTTCATGTCGCAAAGACATGCACCGTACATTACAAAAGTTACCACAGCGTACCGCAAACACGGGATATGTTGGCAAGCATCCATTCTGGACAACATTGCCCTCCAGCCAACATCTGTCCAGTGACTTTCTTTGAACAGTTCGGAGTTGCCTGCCTACCCGGTACACAAAGCCAAATTGCCTTGCTGTGACCATTGATATTTTGTAACCTGATGTACCGGCGCTTCAACTGTCGGTGACGTGTCTGCATGTACAAGTCGTCCGCTTTCGTCTGTTGATTGAATTTGACTGAAACCAATCCGAATTATGATCCGGCTGTTGTCCTAGGGAATCTGAATGGAATCTATGACTGTCTGTGACTGTTTGTGACTGCTACGGTATGACTGTAGGAGGATTAAATTACATGTAGTAGCAAAAAAACACAGGTAGCCAGGTGAAAATCCTGTGCTATGTACTGTCTGTGACTGGTTCCCACCATTTTTTTTAATCCCTCCAATAAACGTACCCTGTGTGTGTGCAGAATATAACAGGTGCTGAAAATAACAGGCAGTGTTTTGTGTTTTTGCCACTGCACACTCAGTCAGCGTCCAAATCAACTGGCTATGGCTAGGAGTTGCATGTGTCTATGGGAAGTGGCTGCAACCATAAGCTGTGGCTGCCATAGGTGTGCATGTTATTGTCAGCCATAGCCGTGACTTCTGGATGCTGCCTTTGCTCATACCTACACGTAGCCTGCTGCCTGTACCAATCAAGTCATTTGCACACAGTTGGGTTTGACGAGTGTTGACAGCATATGCTATGCACACAACGGAAATTAAATGGCCAGTGAAATACAGTTCATTTGGTTTCAGTGGCAGTCAGCTTGTATGAACACGGTCAACTCTCATTACTGCAAGGTTGCTGAGACAACACACATTGCCGGTACTTTCTTACCAGAGCCCTTCTTACAAAAAGACTGAAAAAGCATGCCAAGAAAAACAAACAAATCCTGAAGATTTCAACTTTGCTGTTTAATGGCATACATGTACGTGTACATGTGATGGTATTTGATAATGAGTATTCTTTGGTCTTCATGTGTACAGATGACAAACCCTAACCCCCTAGGGTGTATGTAATATATTGAAATCAGATGATTTAGGACTGTTAGGATTAACGTTAAAGTCAAATGTACCAAACTGACGAGTACCGGTATTTACACGTATGCAGATGGTAGCCAGCCAGAATACAGTGTACACCAACTACACAAGTTTTTGTGTCGTAGAACCTAAACCAGGCTTTTTGAAGAGGATCCCCCGTAAATTGTTCGTCTTTGCCCTAAAATTTTGATGTTGTCAGGGCTTACCCTCGTTACTAAAAATTGACAGAAATCAGTAAGAATGATGTGCTGGACCGTGGCCGGCATTGCACAAGGGACAAATTTTTATTTTGTGCCCTAACCTAGACCACTCACCACCTAGACCACTAGACCAACAGTGTTTCTCCTTAGCTCGGATACAACAATTGCATAGAGTTACATGTACTGAGCGCAAAAAATTGGCTCAGCACAGAAAGCACAGTATTTTTTGCTTAGCAAAGATTGGTTACCAGTTTATATACATGTACATGTAAAGTCACCTATACATGTACATGTACATGCATTACTGATGGTTGGTGCACTGCAAAATTTTGCTGAATTCATAACTTGCTTGACAAGAATTTCTGCTCAGTGAAAGTGCAGTGAACCTCTGACAGACTGTACATGTACCTGTAACATCATTGCGGTAGAAGGTGTGCTGCGTTATCTACATGTACATGTATACATTTAGATGTACATATACATGTGTACATGTACATATGTACATGTACATGTGTATATGGATAAATGGACATGTATACATACATGTACGTACTTGTTCAGTACATGTTGATGTACATGTACATATGTATGCATGTACATGTACATCCGCAGCGGTGCATGTAGTGATTCAAATGGTCAGCATCGTTTAAGTTGACTTCAATGCCAGTTTTGCCCTACTTGTACACCCGTACATGTCTACCTTTGCTCAGAGGTGCTCTCCCTAATTGTTTTCTCTAAGTGCAAACATGACAAGGAGTGCCATTTACAAGTCCATGGCACAGTGGTGGAAGAATCGGCATGCTTCCTAGTCAAATTGCCCCGGGTAGTCGAGTCATGGCTAAATCACTCGGCTGTGGCTGGCCTTGACGTTCGAGCCTATGGAAAGCCACTGACCAGCGGCTGTAGTCATTTCCCACTAGACGCATGTGTTCCCTGCTGCCACAGCCACAATTTGGACATACATTGTACTTGTAGCTATGAGCAAAGCACCGTGCAGAATGTGTACACGTAGAGAAGAAACAGTCACCAGGATATTGTTGTTATAAATCATGTCAGTATAAATGAGTACGTGGGTTTCACTCGTCCAACCCACACAATGATTGACCTCCCATTTGTGAAAATGAGGCTGTTCTTATACCAGTACAGGCATCAGGGAAACTATGTTAGATATTATTGGACATGTCAGATGAAGGGGCAGTGGATGGTTTAGAAACCAGGATGCAGGCTCGGTTTTTATGGGGTATACATCTTGTTTATTGGGCTGAACCTTAGGAGATTTTTGTATACTCGATTTTGGTTTCACAAGTAATATTTTACGGAAATGTCGCCGTGGATACTTGCAGATGAACACACATCCTGGCACCATAGGTGTTGGGACAGCAGACAGTACATGTAATGTTATGTCTTGCATACAAATGTACATGTATATACGGGGAGGGATTTGTTATGAGGACAGAGTTTGTCCTGATAGGTCGGTCCTGAATTTCTTTATTTCAGAAATTGACCCCTATGTTAATTTGTGTATACAGATATAAAGATGGACAGCAAAGGAAACTTGCCACTTCTGTCAAATGCCACACATAAAAATTCACTCCATAGAAATAAACAATTTTTGTACACAGGTATGCTGCAATACCCCTTATAATCACATGCCCAAAAGCAAGTGATTATCTTTATAACAAAGAAGAAATTGACATGCACAGCAACTTGGTTACCGAATCAAAAGTCACAGAATGTAACAGAATGAGCCGTAAGTTTTACGCAGAAATCAATGTCACAGGACAAAATAAAGAAGTCACAATCATTACTTTTCAATAATGTGTATGCATAGTCAGTTAGGATGGCATCCCTACAATGAAACCACTCATGCACGTCATTTTGACAAAACGGGTATTCACTTTGTCATTGGTTATTTAAAATGTTGTCCATTCATGGGTCATTTTTTCTTGGTGGAGAGTGCTTTTGTGTGTGACTTTTGATTCAGTAATCAAGTTGCTGGCATGTCAATTTCTTCTTTGTTATAAAGATAATCATTTGCTTTTGGGCACGTGATTAGTAAGGGGTATTGCAACATACCTATGTACAGAAATTGTTTATTTCTATGGAGTGAATTTTTATGTGTGGCCTCCAACAGAAGTGGCAAGTTTCTTTTGCTGTCCAGTGTAATTAGAGATGCTGGCTGCATGTGTACATGCACAGTGCAGTTTGCTTAATGATAGGATTGTTGCCATCTGGGAATATGGCAGATTGACCGTCTACATTGTGATAATGCAGAAACATATGATAAACATAGGGCATTTTATCAGTGGTGGTATCAAAGAGACATGAAACACAGTGAGGGTTAAATGTCACATGTCACCCTGCAGTGGTCCATTGCTTGCAGACTGCACGAACTTGAGCGGCTTCGTGGCAGATGAGATGCACACTTCTTCGACCTGTAATCAGCCTTGGTCATTGATTTTTTTCCCCCTCTGTCTTGGCGTTCAGTGCCATCGTTCATATGGACATATGGCGATGCAGTGCACGTATCAGTGTGGGAAAGATGTGGTGCTCTTTGCAGCTGTCGAGAAGTTACATTATTTCTCAGGGCTGCTTTTAGCGTTGCATATTTGTTATTTTGTTTAAATTTTCAAGGAGGAATTCAAGTTACTCAAAGTGGTCGAGTCAGGATACTCAACTTGTCAGTTTCCAGTTGTCCTTTTATCGGATGAATTGGATGATTCTTGATACGAAAACCCATAAAGTATGTTAAGTGTGTAAGATTACAATGTGCGTGAAGTCTATGGTGAAATGCCGAAATTGACTTTCATTTATGTAAAATCTGTACTTTGTTTCCAAAGTGCATCGCATATAAGGATGAAATTTCACTCTCAAATTAACCCTGGTATTTACTGGAGGTCATTTCTACAAATGCGTCTCCATAGCTACATGTAGTATGAAGCACAAAAGCCTACACTTGCATTTAGCTTATTACAAAAGTTTTAAGAACAGAAAACGCTTCTGTATCAAACACGATTCATCAAATTTTCTATTTAACAATTTCATATCCAAATGTGACTAGATCTGTCAAAATGGTTCTTACAATGTTTTTGCTTACATGTTTGTGCACTTGTTTTCTCAGCATCACAGAGAACACTATCCCATGTTTTGATAGATCACTTTTTTGGCATCGGAATAAATGTAAGAAAAAGGCGACAGTATGTATTTCAGTTGTGCAAGATTTTGAAAGTAGTCTGTTACTGCTTCCAAAGCCAGAAGTACACGTGTCTCTGGTTACTTTTGACTAATTTTCTAAAGTTGGGTCATAAATTCGCATCATGTTTGTAATATGTTCATGTGTTTGGCACTGTCTTAAACACCCTGACTGCTGATTGGCTTCTCAGATTGCTGGAGACTGATGGGAAGTCGGAGATCTCAGCCTATCGCATCACCCGGATCCTCTTCTGTTGCCGTGGGAGAGAGGGCACCAACATCAGTGACTGCTTCGCCTTCACCTGCGGCCATGGCAACCGAGACAGCCAGCTCTTCCAGTGCCACATCTTCAGATGCGAGGTCCCCGAAGCTGTAAGTGTGTGGGGGGGAGGGTGGGGGAGAGAGAATGGAGAAGGGCACTGGGGGATCTAGGGGCCAATGGGGGATCTAGGGGCCAATGGGGGATCTAGGGGCCAATGGGGGATCTAGG